GTGAGTATGAGGCGGTGCTGGGGAACTGTACTGTGCAGGGAGAGGGGCGATCAGTCCTCAGGTGGCATCTCCTGATTTGTTCTGTCAGGTTCCTCTAATGCTTAAGGAAGTGTCTGTTGACAGAGGCAGCCAATCAGAGCCCAGCTGTCACTGTGATAGAACCTGATTGGTGACACAGACAGTTGTGGCCATTGATCAGCTCCCTATAGGATATCCCCTGAACTGCAGGGTGAGTATCCATGGTGAGGGACCTCCTATGTCATGGCATCCCCACCATTGGATGTGGAGTTCATGGCTGTGTGATCGTGGATGGTGTGTAGTGTGCTGGGCACAGACCTCCCAGGATCAATCAATGGCTGGGCTCACCCACAGAGCAACACTGCTGGACAGTGCCGGGCCCATGGTGTGAGCGGCCTGGACACAACCAGATGGTAATTTTCAATGCGATCACTTGTACTGGTCAAAAGATTATCACCTCCTAGAGACCTGGGGCCCCTGGACACTCCTTTTGTGGCCCGCAGGGCTCCTTCAGACACTAATTTGTATTTCCCTATTGTCCTGGTATGGTAATGATTTCTAGCAGTCTCATATAATACGTCTCCAGCCTATGACTGTCTCCTGAAGCATATCTGCAGTCTCCGACCACCTCTTGCGCGGGCGCCCGCGGTCTCCGACCACCTCTTGCGCGGCGCCCGCGGTCTCCGACCACCTCTTGCGCGGCGCCGCGGTCTCCGACCACCTCTTGCGCGGCGCCCGCGGTCTCCGACCACCTCTTGCGCGGCGCCCGCGGTCTCCGACCACCTCTTGCGCGGCGCCCGCGCGGTCTCCGACCACCTCTTGCGCGGCGCCCGCGGTCTCCGACTATATCCTGTTGTGTGTCTGCTATCCCTGACACTGACTATTCGCTGAATTTTATGTGCAGTCCTTTGGCGATGTGAAGGGTTGCACTTGAGGCTTCCATATCAAGAAAGTTGACCACCGCTGCCATAGAGTATCCTTGTGTGCCACCAATCCTCCCCAGAGAAACCCAGGGGCTGTAGTTGGGCTGGTTGATCATTGAAGGACATTAAAGGCTCATTCACCTGGGCACAGAGAGCCATACACCATGAAAACAAGCACATGACCACGTTCACACGGGATGTACTACGGTGCACACCCATGTGAGAACCACGTTTATCCAGATGGGGATGGACCGGTGTAATGTGCAGACAGTCCTATTCATGTCACTTGGGATGCAGCAGCCACACGACACAGCCGCTGGTTCCAACTTTGACATCCATGTGTATGTGTGGGTGCACAGCGCTGAACACAGACGGTGTGGGTTTGAGGACACGGATGTCAAATTGGTAGAAGTAGTTGTGTCCATACAGCTACTATGTCCCAATTGACATGAATAGGACTGCTTGCACAGGGATGCTCGGAACACCCGTGATAAACATGGCCTTCGCACTGCTGTAGGCTGTAGTGTGCCCCTGTGAACGAGGCCTTACTCTATATCTGACAGCCTCCTGTACAGCCTCCTGTACAAATCAAAGACAGGCTGTGGCTGTGACACGTGTCACCTCCCTTCTGTGCCTTTTTCTGGAATACAGAGGCACTTATTGATTTGTAGCGGAGGCTGTATGCAGGGTAGCTGTCACTCCTGGGGCAGAGTAGGGGTGAGCTTGCATTTAGAAACAGGTTCTGGTCTGAACCCAGATGTCTGCTGTCCTCCTTGGGCCAGTGACCTGCAGGGGGATCCCACGTTACATCATTGGCCCAATATGTACATTTCATGTCAATGTCTGAAGTCATTGACCTCTGTGACATCACGAATATCCCTGCTCCTTTGTAACATCAGTTGTGAACTGGAAATCCCCCACCTGCAGGTCATTGGACCAAAACTGACAGCTGGGTTTGGACCAGAACCCGCTTCTGAACAAATGCTGGTTCGTCCCTAGTGCAGAGGTACACTTTTTCTTTCCCACGGCATACGGCTCTCTGAGCTCTTGTGAATGTGTCTAAATATAAATCAGGAGAGAATAATGCAGACCCCCAATGCTGACCTCAACTCATGAGACTGTTCCCTGGCTGCCATGCTGGATGAAGGGGATGCAGACTTCCAAAATGTGCCGGCTCTCATTGAACCTTCAATAAACATTCCAGTGTACTGTGGTATAGAACCTTTTTTTGGACGCTGGCACCTCCCTTCCCGATAGACTGGAGCACTCACATTCCTTTCCCTTTATCAAAATTCTACAACATGTGCAATGTTGTGATATCTCTGTTGTCAAGACAGCAGCTTGCTATTTTTACATGATGCAGACTATAGCCAGGACCCATAAGCACCTTATCTCTCCTTCCTCTACTTCATGACAGCGTCACCTTAAAGCCCCACTCCAGATAGAAGGAAAGATATCCTTTTCAGTTGGGGCCCCAGCAGTGCAAGGGTTAAATGTCTGTGGCTGGTGGTAACACCACGCTCACATCAAGTTCTGCATTGTACATGAGGGATCATACATAAGGCAGAGCTCAGAGAGAGGAGTGCTGGAGCGAGGAATAAGGTCTGTATTACACCTTTTCCCTCTAGCCCTACATCTATTGAGCATTTAACCCTTGCAGCATGGATTTTTTTTTTTTTATAGAATCCCAGAGTTCAGTTTAAAGGGTATTAGTAACTATGCTTAAGCTGGGTATACACTAGTAGGGTATACACTAGTATTTTTCCTTCAAAATGTTTTGTGTACCATTTTCTTATCAAATGTAATCTAAATTGGGCAGCACAGTGGCTAAATGCTTAGCACTTCCGCCCCTGCAGTACTAGGGTCTTTGGTTTTTTGAATCCCAGCCATGGCACCACCTGCCTGGAGTTTGCATGTTCTCCCTGTGCCTTTTGTGGGTTTCCACCATGTACTTTGGTTTCCTCCCACACTCCAAAGACATACTGGTGGATTAATTGGATCCTGTCTAAATTGGCCCCAGGGTGGATAAAAATCAATGATTTTTTTAAAAAAAAATTTAAAAAAATCGGATTTTTTTGATTTAAATTGGATTTTTTTGATTTAAATTGGATTTTTTTGATTTAAATTGGATTTTTTTGATTTAAATTGGATTTTTTTGATTTAAATCGGATTTTTTTTTTAAATAAAATGCTTTTTGAGGAAAATATATTACCATCCAAAGGTTATTCCATCATGAAATAAAGATTAGTTTTTTAATTAGTTAGAATAAGGCTGTATAGGTTTAATTTTTTTTGGTAAATAAATTCCATGAATCCATTCACAATGTCATGCTCTTCCAGAGGTTTTTGTAAGATTATTGGGCAGTTTCTCTGCCTACAAGATATTATCACAGATGTTTGGTTTACTTTTGCAGTTCTCAAAACTGAATTTGACTCAGCGGAGATCACATGCCTCTTCTTCACAGCAAAAATGTTATAACATGAACAGAGTTAAGAAAAAGACCTTCATCCTAACTTCTACAAACCTATGAATACAGAATCAACCCCTTCACTGCTAAGTTTCAAGAAGTTCAGTGAATAGAATAGAAAGAATATTTTTCTGATTGTTTGGAGTGGAATAGATCTGCACAGGAAGAAAGTGAAACTAAGTGTGAGGAGGAAGGGGCTGACAGTCTAAGTTTCCTAAAATATATAGATTTTGTTTAGCCAAATTAGTTAAACATGGATGTTTGTTTAGGCAAATCACATATGCTGGAATGTTATTGTTTCAGTTGAATAAATCTATTTAAATTGTTATTATTAAGGTAATGATTATTTTTCTCCTTCCTAAGTACAACAGAAAAGTTGTCCAAATATGAATGATTAACCTATTAAACTGGGGATAAAAAAAAACTAATATGAAAAGTTGTTACTCTAAAAATCTTCATCTACTTGCATATTAAAGTTATACCAGCAAGAATTAATCTATGTAGAAAACTAGGATTTAAATCAAGCCTTACTGACTAGTGATTTAAATCAGTTTGATTTAAATCAAATCCACCCTGATTGGCCCTAGTATGTGTATGTATGAATTAGGGACCTTAGATTGTACGCTACTTAAGGGTTAGGGACTGATGTGAATGTAATATAAATATATATAATTTTACTTTATATAGAACTGCGTAAATTGACGGCGCTATACAAGTGCCTGTAATTAATATAATCATTAGTGGGGTCAAATTGATGTTTGTTTTCAGCCCCAGTGACAAGAAAATTTGAAGGTGCTGGATGGAAAATTTCTCAAATCAACAAATTTTTGACAGTGAATTTTGTTTTCATTTGGTAAAGTCCATTCATTCCAAAAACGGACGTTAAAAGCAAACAAAGTTTTGAACTACTTTCAAGCAACATTAGTTAGTAGTAGCCATAGTAGCTTACACCAAGTACTGGATTCCCCCTTGTCTCTCTGTGGGAACCCCAGAACAATATATATGTATTTTGCATGCAAAGAATGTAATTTTCATACATTCTTACACCTTTTAATGATCTAAAGCAAAACATTTATTATACAGCAGCTTACCAATTCGTAGATGTGATGGCTGCATTTGTTTCCTTTTTTAGATTTTCTTTCTTCTGTTTTCATCTGGTAATCCAGCCAGTAAGACTGGTTTTTCAAAAGAACAAGCTCTCCAGCAGAATTTAACAGTTTACTTGGATGAGACAAACCATTTACCACTGACAGCTGTGCCTACAGTGATTAGATTATGTAAAACCCGGTTTGCTCTAACTGGTCATAAAGTGTGAGCTGGAGTTTGGCTTCAGTGTGTTAGTGTATTTAAATCTGCTAGTATATTTAACACTCACCTCCCCTCAGATTGCCAATACTGCTGTCTGCTGTGCCCCCTGTGCTTCTTCATCCAGAGTAGAGGCACTCTAACACAAGTTGTGTGTTACTGGCCAGATCACCAGGTGAAAAATGAGGGCAAAATGCCTTTTAAAAATATAACTAATGCAGCCATCACATCTAATGATTGGTAAGCTGCAATCTTTTACATTTTTGGCTTTGGGTTGAATACTGGTTTAACCTCCCTGGCGGTATTCCCGAGTGTAGCTCGGAGTAAAGTTTCAGTACCACAAGCGGTAACCCCAAGCTACACTCGGGCTTGCTATGCAGCGCTGCTCCGGGATCTGTTCTTCTCTTACCTTGTCCTGCGCTCCCACGATGTCCCTCCTGCAGTGTCCCTGGCAATGTCTGCCGGCGGATGCTAGCATCTGTCTTCCAGGTTCCGTTCTTTGTGAAGTCGGGACGTACGGGGACGGAACTGGCGGGAAATTTGAAAATGACAAAAAGTGACATTCACTAAATTCACTAAAATCACATAGTAAAACATTCCTGTATCAAACCATTTCACATACATTTTGTCCCGAGTGCTTTGTCCTGTGCCCTGCCTGCATTTTTACTGTTCTTTCTGCCTGGAAACTGAGAAACGTCCATGGCGTCCAAAAAGCGTCCCTTTTGTCAAAAGCGGTTTTAGACCGGCTGGAGAACAGTGATAGTAAATCAGAACCACTTGCAGAATTGAGTGATAATGACTCGTGAGGAAATTCGTCATCAGACACTGAAAACGATTTTGCGACTTTGCTCAGCGATGTGCGAACTTGGCGCTCTATTTCAAATTTCAGTGTTTTTGGTTTGATTATATTATTGAATTAAATGTATTATTATTAATATTATTTATGATTATTAAATTATAATTTATGATTTCGTGTTTCAAATTTTAACATATTTGGGATGTTTACTAGACTCTCTTGTTCGGGCAGATTTCAGTGAGTTATTCCTAAAAATTACAGGCCTACAATAAAAAAATATTTCCATGCAAAAAAATGTACCGCTTTAAGCACAGAAATATGGACATAATCAGACCGCTAGGGAGGTTAAAGAAGAGCCTCAGGAAGTATAACTGAAAAGGGCATTGGAATGTGAGTTTTAAGTGATAATGGCCCTTACACTGGAGCCATGGCCCTATAGACTTCTTGTCCATTCAGAAAATGGCAAGGACGAGCAGTAGAGAGCACACAGCCTGGAACCATTGTGATCCTTTTTCAAGCTGTGCTTTGGGCACAGTATTAAGAGAGCTGTATCTGGGATAACATGGAGGTGGCAGGATCACGGATATTTTATTGAAAGCTGCAGATTTAAAAAATATCGAAAATGGCGGATCTGTTAAACTTTATAAATTTTTAAAAGCCAGTAGTGTTAGGACTAAAGAAGATTTAAAGCAGGCTCAAAACATCCTGACTTTATTTTTGTGTGCAATAAAACCGATGTGCACATGGCCAGTCTGCTCAGGAAAAAGCAGGTTGTATATTTCACTAAATATGAGAATTCTGGTTCATGCTGTGAGCCCCAGTTTATCATGTTTACCAAGTCAAGCGGATCTCACGAGTCGAAGTTTCAATATATATGAATAATACTAAAACACAAAAATGCAGCAATCTGTTCAGAAATCCTTGACTTATTTATTTTTCTTTATTTATTACAGGTACTTAGATAGCGCCGTCAATTTACACAGCACTTTACATATATATTGTACATTCACATCAGTCCCTAACCCTCAAGGGGAATGCAATCTAAGGTTGCTTTTAAGAAGTTGTCTCTACAAGAGATGTATCCCTGTTCTGTTTTTTTGTTTTTTGCTGATTTTTCTGCCTGCTTTTTTGTGTTTCTCAATTTTTCCCCTTTGGCGAATGCCCTCTGTTATATTTGGATGTGTGACATGGAAGGTATGTGTGAATACTGCAGTGCAAGGGAATCACTATATTTAGTGAGCTTTGTAGTCCATTTGCTGTTTTCACAGATGGGCCCCCACTGTCGGCCTCCCCTTGCTCCCTCGCTTAGGTCACACAGCATCCGTCATCTGTTCTATACGGACATGTACTCAGTTAACTTCCTTCTGCCTGAGTGATTGTTGCTACTCCTGTCCTAATAATAACTTGGCACTGGGACTTCTTCCCCTCCCTGGCAGCATTAGGGTTAAAGCTCCCAAATAGTAAAAATAGCGGTTGTGTGGCAGGAGCAGAATCCTGGCAAAGCTGATGGCCTCCGTAATAAGCTGTCACAGTTAATTCTCTGCATTGCAGGAGTAGAATTTTTGCGTGCAGTGAAATTTAACCCAGGGTAAAGTTTGTTGGGCAAAGCGGCACCAGAGGTCAGTGAAAGACACTGAGTGCATTTATACGAGCCTTTGGCTGTCCCGCGTCAAACTTGTAACAGTTCACCAACGGAGCTTGTAAAGAAGTTGACCGGCCATAAAAAGGAAAAGTGTGATGGGCAGAATTGCCGTGTTGAAAGTTTTCGTCTAAAGGCTGCTGACCAGGGTGACGGGATTTAGTTTGAAAGGGAAGCTGTTGACATCAACTTCAAATTTTGGGATTTTTTTTCTTTTTGTGTTTTTTAGTTCTTTCTACAATGTCGAGCGAGCTGGTGGAAGATGAGACTCAGTTCTACTGTAACGCAAAGAAGTACTGGAAGAATGTTTCTCCCACAGTGGACGGGATGCTGGGAGGCTACGGACACATATCCAGCATCGACATCAGTGGCTCCAAAAAATTCCTACAGAGGTTCCTTCGAGTGAGTTTACAAGTATGTACAGAGGTTACTGTCACCCGTTGTACTGTAAACAGTCCTCTTAGGTATGTGAAGCTAGTAAATCCAGAAATACAGAATAGAATGAAGGGAGGTCATGCGATTCCTAACATTGACTGTTACAGTCCCAATAACACTTTGCAAGAACGCAATGGTAAAACAGTGTTCATGGAATTGTGTTGTGCCTTATGCCACATCTGGTGTTTTTAAGTCCTAGTTATATTACCTTTTAACGCTTGTGACCTTGCAGGTGATAATGACAGTCAGGACAGGAAAGATCCTTGGAGCCAGACAGCCAGTGTGTTGAAAGAAAATGCCAAAGCCAGCCCTCCTACCTTGTCCTCCAGTGCCTTTACCCCCAGTCCCTGTCTCCTGTCAGTAAATCCACAAATTTTCAGAAAATATGTGACAAGCCACCTGTTTCCCTACAAGACACCGCTTGGGACCTAAAGCAGTGCTAAGTTTCATCAACAAATGATAATTGTGTGGCTGTCAATGAGAGAGTGGAGGTACAGGTATGTATAGGCATCAAAGGTGCCTAGCATATGGATTTGGGACTATAGGGTGACAGGTCTACTTTAGAGATTACCGGTCACACCGCTGAGATTTATGTGCAATTTCAGGTGCAATTTCTGAAGACTTTATTGCAACTTGTGAAGATTTTCAAAGATTTCTCGCAATTTCCATTCTATTCTATTTATGTGAAATTGCAACAAAACTTCAGAAAAAGTAATGTAAGAACTACTTTAGAAATGGCACTGCAGAAATTGCAAGTGTTAGACAATGACATTCACATCCATTAGATGCGATTTTCAGGTGCAATTTTAATTCCCAGATCGCACCTGAAGTTGCACCGGTGTGACCGGGCACCAAGCCCTGGTTCACACTGCCACGATTTGGGAAAAATTGTACCTGAAATTGGATCTAGTGAATATGAGTGTCTTTTTTCATATGCGATTTTGCTGCAGCGTGATTTCAAAAGTAGTTCTTGTATTGCTTTTTCTGCAGTTTGTTGCAATTTCACATAGACTACAATAGAAATCGCGCTGCAAAACGCAAGAAATCATTGGGAAATCTTCAGAAAACGCGGTGAAATCGCAAACCGCGCAATTTTTAAATCACATCCAGTGTAAACCAAGCCTTAGTGTACATTCAGGAGGAAACTAGTATTCCCACGGGGCCATCTCATCCACATTTGTGCAAGGCCAGAGCAGAACTCTTATTTTTATGATCCCAAGACTGAGGTGAAGATGTCAGTTATCCATAATCAACACTTAAAGGATAAGTTCACCTTTTTATACAAAAAATAATAAAGACCGTTTTTTTGCAGGTAAAAAATTTTGCATTTATTTTTTGTTACAGATGTCTGTAAAGCATTGCACCAGCGATCAGCAGGTTGCTGGTGCTATGCAGATCTGTCAGTATATCTCTTTGATTGTACGGGATGTATGGGCGAGCAGATATACTGACAGGAATGATCAATGAACTACAAGCCGACAGCCGCTAAAGCTGTTGGGACTTGTAGTTTCTCATTCACAGAACCCAGTGAATGAGTGACCGTTGGTGGAGCCCCACACGGCCACGTTTTTTTAAATTTGACAGCGAGGGAGGAGAAGATCCCCCCCCCCCCCCCCCCCCTCGATAGTTGTAAAGCGGGCCCAGTCAGCTCATAACATGTTACACCCTAGATATGGGTGTAACATGTTCTGAAAGGTGAACTTATCTTTTAATGTTATCACTTATATGGTACGTGGTCTGTTTTCATTTATTATTTTAAGTGTGTGTTTACTGTTGGTAAAATAAGTATTGGACACATCCGCATTTTTTTCAGTAAATATATTTATAAAGGTGCATTTGACATAAAATTTTCGCCACATGTCGGTAACAACCCATGCAATCCATATGTACAAAGAAACAGAAAACAATAAGTTCAGAAATTAAGTTATGTGTAATAAAATCGAATGACACAGGGAAAAAGTATTGAACACATGAAGAAAGAGAGATGCAAAAAAAGGTATGGAAAGCCAAGACACTAGCTGAAATTTAGCAATAATTAGAAACCAATCTTGCCCTTTTGTCAGTGCAAATTACTATCAGCTGGTTCAGTCTTAAATGATGATGTTTCATTACCAAGGTGTCACACAGGAAACATCTCAAGACTTTCACAACCTTATTGTTGCAAAACATACTGATGGCATTGGTTACAGAAGGATTTCTAAACTTCTAAATGCTCCAGTGAGCATTGTTGGGGCCATAATCTGGAAGTGGAAAGAAAATTTCACCATAAACTGGCCATGGATTTCTGGCAAAGGAGTGAAAAGAATTATTAAAGAGTTGACCAAGAGCCAAGGACCACTTGTGGAGAGCTTCAGAAAGGCCTGGTATTAGCAGAAACAATAAGTAATGCACTCAACCGTCATGGCTCCATTGCTGTTGAAAAAAACATGTTGAAGCTCGTTTAAAGATTGCTGCACAACATTTAGACAAGTCTGGAAGCATTCAGGGGAGCACAGGGGAGAAATGCTAGGTCTTTTAGACCTTGGATGTCTATTGAGAACCTGTCACCAAAAGTCATCACATAGGGGAATTTATACCCTATGTAATGAAAAAAAAAAATTGTTACTTTTTTTTTTTTATCGTAAAAACATCAGTTACACCCAAGCACATAACACCCCCCCCCCCCCCACAAAAAAAATTGAGGCCCCTTCATATACGCACATATAAATGTAAAACGCTGGGGCGCCTATGCATGATAACGTTGATTGTAATACACAAGTTACATATTGCCATAGTGCCAGAATGAGAGCAATAATTCTAGCGTGAGACCTCCTCTATACACTATGCTGATGATCTGGAAGGGGCTTTAAAAGTGTTGCCTATAGAAAATACGGAGTACTGAAGTTCGTCATTTTCGCCATTCCACAGGTGCAAGCAAATTTAAGGTTTGACATGTTGGATGTCTATTTACTCAGTGGAACCTTGTCTTTTTTATTTTTGAAAAAAATAGGTAATTTTATTTTTTTTTTTTTTTTTTTATGTGCCCTAAAATGAACTTGCTTGTATTTTTGTTACTGAAAGTTTGTGGTAATATGTGGCCTAAAAAATTGGAACTACCACCATTTTATTCTCTAGGATATCTGCTTTCAGAAAATATATAATGTTGGGGGTTTTGTGTCATCTTCAGGCCTAAAATGATTTTTTAAACGTGTGCAAAAAACGGCTCTGGCATCAAAAGGGCTAAAGGATAAGCTGGACACTCCCCTTTCCTGACAAGCACCCAATCTGTGCTCATTACACTGCAAGGTCTCTCCCCTCCCTGCTAGTCCCTGGGTGCTGTGCTGGAGACAGGCAGGGGAGGGGAGGAGGAGATAAACAGTGCAATGTTAAAAATATTAAACATTTAAGTCGCCATAAAGCCCCTTCTGATTTTAAAAGCCCCAGACATTCCTAAAACCACCTGTGATTTTAAATACGGTTTTGGTTCAAAGTTATTTGTTATTTATCTGGACAAGTAGATTAGGGCCCCGATTTAGTCCCTGGACAAGCATTTCTTTAAAAAAAATGTCCACACCGTGTGTGTGTATAAAATTACAAACACAGGGTTGATTTACTAAAACTGGTGCAGCTGTGCATGGTAGTCAATCAGCTTCTAACTTCAGCTTGTTCTATTAGGCTTTGGCAGTAAAACCTGGAAGCTGATTGGTTTCTATGCAGAAGTGCAATAGATTTTGCACTCTCCAGTTTTAGTAAGTCAACCCTCACTGTGTGTGTATATATAGTTATTTACATAGTTTGGTTGAAAATAGAAAAAAAAAAAAGCCTCCTTTTATACACAATTTTATATCCACAGCTGATTCAGAGGAAGGCAAAAACCCCCCCCAATAAACTATAAAAAAAGATCTGGTTTGCTCCAATAGAGGAAAAAAATGTCCTTCCTGTTCCCAAGGAAGCAATCGGATATTCCTTAGATCAATTATCCCTGGTGTTAAAAATAATTCCCTTATAGAATTGTGTATCCAGTATCTTAAGTGTTAGATCTATCTATATTTCTTCTACAAATAAATATTTAATACATGACAAAGGATGCCCAGGGCTCTACTGATTAGCCAAAGAGACACTATAGCAAAGCTGCTTTCTTTGCAGCTCTCTTTTTCTGGCCTAAACCTCCAACTGAATTGTGTGATAAGGGATGAGATCATGCTCTGATAACTCATTAGATAATGTAAACTGTGACCTTCCTTCAGGCAGTTGTCAGAGCAGGGATCGGCACCAATCATCAGTGCCCTGATGATCAGTGCCCTAATGATCGGTGCCCATCAGTGCCGCCAGTCAGTGCCCAGCAGTGCCACCAATCGGTGCTGCCTATCAGTGCAGCCTCATCAATGCAAATCGGTAAAGGAGAAAAAATTACTGGTTTGCAAAAATTTATAATAGAAACAAAGAAACTTTTTTTTTTTTTTTTTTTTTTTTTTTAAGTTTCAAATTGTTTGCTCTTTTTTTGTTTATAGCGCAAAAATAAAACACCCAGCGGTGAGTAAATACCACCAAAATAAAGCATTATTTGTGAGGAAAAAATTGTAAAAATTTCATATAAGTACAGTGTTGCATGACCGCGCAATTGTCATTCAAAGTGCGACAGCCCTGAAAGCTGAAAATTGGCCTGGTAAGGAAGGGAGTATAAGTGCCCAGTAGGCAAGTGGTTAAAGTCCTCATCTAGTGAACTTTCTGTGATTTCCTGTAAAGGACCCATATTCAAGGTGCAACATGTTACTGTAGCACAGTGTTTCTCAACTCCAGTCCTCATGGATCCCCAACAGGTCATGTTTTCAGGATTTCCCTCAGATGAAACAGCTGTGGTAATTACTAAGGCAGTGAAATTGATCAAATCACCTGTGCAAAATAATGGAAATCCTGAAAACATGACCTGTTGGGGGTCCATGAGGACTGGAGTTGAGAAACACTGCTGTAGCACCAGCCCTCGCACCCCCTCA